CGGACTACAGACCAAGGAGTTTGTTTGTTTGTTGTTAATAATGAACGCGCTCAAATGTTTTAAAATGGCCGAAATTGTGACCGAAACATTACATAACGATAATATATCAAACGTTCAGACTATCTGAAAGTGAATTAGATGTGAGGAGGATTCTTCGTGGAGAATCGTGAAGGATGGGGATTACAGCATTCTCTTGGAGACATAAAAGGAAATTACGAAATATGAAATACGACAGCCAAAGCATAGATCAGGATCAGATAGCTACATACACTCTAGCTTACGTAACCTACTCACATGGCTGGGAGCGAGGAAGCCTTTGTGATGTCTCGGCTAGGAAAAATGATCCATCAGACATCGAGTATCTTTGTTACGTGAAACTATTTTGAGGAAATGTCTAATCATTACATACACAGCTCAAATTAACGAATGGGTGTCTTATCAGATTAATCTGTGTCTAGTTGCGGCTTCCAATGTACCACTTCCACCCATCATTTAAACGTAATCCGACACAGGTTCTCGAGTATGTTATTGCCCTGTCTCTTAAGTAATATTTTCGCAGTAAATTCTTACTACTTTGCGCCTAGTATTTCATAGCACAACCTATAGTGCACTAGAAACTGCGAAAAATTGTGTTATTTCTCTATGAAATTGTACACCAGATATAAATACAGCAGTGCATCGAAATTTAGACAATATTAACAGGTAATCCTTTGGTACGTGACACCGTGTAGTTTGGTAGAAGTTGACGGCAGTTTCGGAGCCACACGTTGCCTCTATTTTCTGGGTCGAAGCCAAAAATGCCGCGACCTGAGCGATTCAGCTCTTTTGGATTATTCTTCGACACTGAAAATGAAAGCAGTATATTCCTTCGAAACGTCTGTAAATTTCTATCACACTACATGGCATCACATCACAGAAGATGGTATTATTCAGTCACCACCTTGAAAACCTCAAGTTTCACAATTTTAATTGCGTTTACTACTCAAACGTACCCAACAAATAAGTTCCATCTATATGAATAATTCCCCATGCACATGCGCGTTAACAACTCTTAGTGTTCCGGGAAATTGCGCTCATTCTTCCATCTGCCACCTATTTAAATCTTTCGGTGTTCGGCAGTTTTACGGGTAACAGTAGTACGTGTGAAATAAACATATTTCGAGAAGTGTGTCACGTTGTAACAGTCGTTACTTTCTCCTTTACAAAGAAAGATTTTCCGATAAGAATATATTTTGGTATCCTAACGGAGATCTGCACTTGTGATTGGTCAGCATGGAGACGCTTTTCTCTCAAGTGCGGGATTCCAATGGATTTTGATACCTCAGATTGTACAGTGTCGAATGTTACAGAATAAAGCATTACAAGGAAGTGGAAAGAAAGAGGCGTGGCTTATTTAAGGCACTATCATAGCATCTTTTGAGGAGCTGGAGAAAACAATGGAAAACATATCACGATGTCCGGTCCTAGGGCAGAGATTTGAACCCTGGAGGTCCTGAATGTGAAGAGGCGGAGCTAACCATTCTATAGTGTCGTTCCGAAATTCGTGCCAAAGAAAAGTAAACAACAATACTCAACCCCACAAACCCCTGTAACGGCCATTTAATAATAATTTTTTTCGAGCCAATGAATACCCTTTCCTTTCCTTGGCACTACAGCCCCAGTGGACCTAGGCCTACCTCCATTAAACTCTCCGTTTCACTTCGGTTTTTCTAGATCTTACACATATGGTAGGACTCCTTGGGCGAGTGATCAGCTCGTCGCAAGGCCTCTACCTGTAGACAAACACAGACAAACGCACACCAACATCCATGCCCTCATTTGGATTCGAACCCACGATCCCGGCTTCTGAGCGAGCGAAGACAGTGCATGCCTTAGACCGCTCGGCTACCGTGACCGGCAATGAATACCCTACGGAGTATATATTTTTTCAATCCCTCAACAAAGTAAAAATAAGAGATAAAATTATCTCTGAACTTCGGAAACTAGACATGCGGTTTCATTTTATGCGAGGATTCGTTCCTGAAGACCTCGCATAATTCAAGACAAGTTTTCAAACACATACGTGAGTCTTGCTGATTCCCTTGCAGGGTGTGGGTGGATTCGCATTCTTTCATACATCGAGCATAAAGTGAGACTGTTAATATTTCTTATATCACATTATTCCATGAACATATGTATATTGTAACGTGTTTCGTTACTGAAGACGTCGTTCAAATTGTTAATTGGTTTATTTAACAACATAGAAGTAACGGCTACAATTAATTATAACAATGTTACGGGTTTCCACACTTTACAAACCCTACAACCAAATCTCTTCACACTATCACGATTCACTCGTTACAACTGAAATCGGTGACTACTACAATTCAACTCACTCCTTACTGCTCACTACTGGCTAGATTCCAACTCAACTCGTAGGCTGCTGCCTTGAGAACTCACTTCGGCGACTGATACACTTAACTCTCTTCGAAGGCTGTGTAGTTCCATTATAAACCCTCAGCCGGACAACGGGAAAACAGTTAAGTAATAGGCACCACTGTTGTCTGACGCCGTGTTTGCCGATAGCCTAGCAACGCTGTCGGGAGTTGTTTAAGGCTGCATAGCAACCGCGGCGTCCCGTGTTACGTCACCGCTGTTTACTCGCGTTGCATAGCGACCAGTGTGCTGGGACTCAACTCACTTCGGCTCCGCTCGGCACGTCACGGCTGGCGGGGAGGGAGGGGCGTCATCCATAGTGCAACACGTCACAATATATATATATATATAATTTTTACCGTCAACGTGACAATACTTTAATATTTACTTATTTACTTAGCAAAAATATTAAAGTATTGTTGAGTTGACGGTAAAAATTATATTATGTTCACTATACCGTATTTACGCATGTATAGGCCGCGTGCGTATATAGGCCTCAGCACAATTTTCAGACAGAAATTATAGAAAAAATAATTTTCTTGGAATATTATTTCAGGAGTAGAACACCCTGTATTACTAATTATGAATATAATTTTTTTTAATTAAGTGTGATTTCGAATATTTCGAATATAAGCCGCACCCCAGTTTTCCTCTTGAATTTTTGGCAAAAAATGTGCGGCCTATACATGCGTAAATACGGTATATAAGCAACACTGGCCTATTGTAACCTGCCCTGGGTGATTATGATGATGGAAAATTTGGTGGAATGAAGATTGGCAGGGGAAACCCAAGTACTGGGAGAAAACCCGCCCTAGCGCCATTTTGTCAACCACAAATCCCACTTGACCAGACCCCGGGATCGAACCCGGGCCGCCGCGGTGGGAAGCCAGCGACTAACCGCTTGAGCCATGGCGCGGCCTTGAGAATATGAATCTCCAGGTAGCCTCGTTCGGTATTCCCATGAATGTTCTGTATGTAATGTTATACCTTCTTATGTGTGCCAAGTCCCAACTATCCCATACTCCATTTTGTAAGATTTGAGGTTCTTACAGCGGAGGTTATGAAGAGTTCTATCTTCTGATATACAAGGCCGTGTAATCCATTTAAAGTCAACCGATGTTTCGGAGGAACGTGTCTCCTTCATCTTCAGGGTGGGAGAATAAGCGAAGGAGGAACTCTGTTACCCGCTCTGAAGATGGAGGTGACATGTTCCCTTAAAACGTCCGTTTTAACCCAGTTATAACCCAGACGACAGAATTCTCCATACTATACTATAATCGAATATTATTTGATGAAGAGCAAAAGTGTTATGGTAATAGCACTGAATACAAGAATGCTCATAATATAAAGAAACCATATTAGACAAAAAGAAATTGGGGCGTTCCGTTATAAGAAGGACTCATGATAATTCAGAATTACTGTTTCTTTGGACTTTGCCTATTGGACAATAGACAGATTGACAAAGTCCAGAAACTCAGTAATTCTGAGTATTGCACGCCATCGTCAGAACCCTTTAGAATATAGCCATAAGAATCGTTCATAGCGGTTGCTGATTAGCATGAGGACTAATTTCGGCGTTTGGAAGAGCTGTAGCCCTTCGAAGTTAACCAGCAGAAGCAAGATGCACATTTGTCTCATTCTACAATACTTTAGAGTAAAACATGAGATCATCGCCGTAGAATGACGTTACTACTAGCCTGGTTTCATGCGTGAGATACGAGACAAAAAAAATATATACGTGTATGACAAAAAGTGCACCATATGCGTCCACATTATGTTGTAGCTTAGTATCATGTTGTAGTTGCTATTAGAATTTATTTTCAATTGTTTGCTGTCCACCATGCGACAATATCCTATTTGTAAGTTTTGAGGTTTTCACGACGATGACTATGAAGAAAGTCGTCTTCTGGGTTTTGGCGCCATGTATTCTTCGTTTTAGCCGACGTTTCGGAGGAACGTATCGCCTCCATCTTCAGAGCAGGTGAATTGGCTTGTGAATGCAGAGAGCAGTAGCTACGAAACGTCGGCTAAAACGAAGAATACATGACGCCAAAACCCAGAAGACGACTTTTTTCAATATCCTGTATGCATTACAACTGCCACTAACGGGTTTTATCTTTAGATCGTCAGATCTTAATAGCAAAAGGCTGTGCCCATAATCAAAATATACGAAAGCTTTTATTTAGTATGAAGGCTGCTAAATCACAGAACTAATTCTGTTAAATTGTAAATAAGTACCAGCACATTTCCTCATTACATAAAGCTTAGAAGAAAAAAATACTGTATTAAAACAAATTAACTGGTTTACTGGAGACTTAACTGAGCTGAACGAACTTTTAAACGGTGAATAAATTTGCTGTGAAAGTAGAAACTGGAGAAATTTCAGAGGCGATATCGGAATCATATCATAAGTACAGAAATGGACTAAAATCTAGTCCCTTTGTTTCGGTCTAGCACACTACAAGTCTGTTAAAACAAAGTATTCAGAATAAATCAGATATAGAAAGTATCACTCGGCCGAATGACAATCTATATCGAGGCCTAGAATCTGACTGAAATCTCAGAATTGTTACAAGGTTATTTACCTATTAGCAGGGCCGTTGTTCGAGTCCATGTAAGGAAAAGAATCTTTCTCTTCCATCATGTCCAGTTGCACTTTGGACCAATCCAGTGGTTCCGATGTCTATTTCCGTCGGGGTAAAGCGGCTGGGACGTGAAGCTGACCACTCATCTCCATCTAGTGCAGAGATTAAAACGTGTGAAATTTTACTTTCATTCCCCCGTGTGTTCTCATGGCGTGGTGTGCAGACACATGGTAAATTTTACCTATAGCTTACTAGTTACCTACTAATTGTTCCACCCGGTGAGTTTGTTGCTAATCTCGGCAGATTCACAAACATCTACGCTAGATCATACTTAACATAAGGTAACAGGTAAAGTCGCCCCTTTGCTTAATAAATTAAACACTACGGCATGAAGACGTATGGGGGAGTGGACGTATAGATCCACCATTCTTGACTTCGGCACTAGATGTAGGTGAGTAGTCAGCTTCACGACCCGGCCGCTTTATCCGCGGAGAAAACCCTCCCCCGCTGTACTCACGGGTTAGGACGCTGTGGTGTAGATACAAATCTTCTGCCTCTGCCGGGAATCGAACCTCAGTAGTCCAGCTCGTAACTTCCGACTGAACTATCCCTACCCCTCATATTTAAGATAGATGTAGTTAAGTTAGGATTTTCGCTTCGTTTGTCAAAAACTGAACCCTAAATTTGAGAAATAAATGCATGTGACACAGCATGACGCATATGTACGCAAACTGAGATTTCTTTTACGACAGAAAAACATGCATAGTGCGCACAGTGATTTTAAACGATAACCTCTTTCGCATGCTTGGACGATAGTAAACAGTTTGTCCAAGCTCAGATCTGTTAATGATCACGATACATCACTGGCCAACACAAGTTATGGGTGTTAACAAAATGGAAAGGTCACTGAAAGAGTGGTTCTTGTTTTCTATTACAAGCGATAATTTGTTATTAGTAGCACTGGGAACTGCCGATCAAATTGGGCGCGATCTAAGACATGAACTCTCTTCGCTCGCTCGAACGCTGGGATCGTGGTTTCGAATCCCACTCAAGGCATGGTTGTCTGCGTATGTTTATTCTGTGTTTGTGTTCTGTGTGTCGGTAGCGGCCTTGCGACGGGCTGATCACTCGTGCGAGGAGTCCTACCGTGTATAGGATTAAGGAACTGAAAAAGCGTCCAAGGTCCAAGAAAGGGCTGTACCTCGTAGAGCCACACATAAATAGATAGACCGATTCATCACCATCACCATCATCATTATCATCAGCCGTTTGTTGGGTCCTGGCCTCTTCTTTAGTTTCGTAATCATTTTTACACAGACGGTGATCAGCCCGTCGCAAGACACACGCAGACATCGATGCCTTGATTGGGATTCGAACCCAAGATCCCAGCTTTCGAAGATAGTTCATCCCTTAAACTGCGAGGCCACTGTGATCGGCAGATACAACTGGGGAAGTTCCAACGATTTATAACAGAAGTTCCTTTACTGTACATCACAAAAACTTTAATTTCGAAAGATACCTCTACATCCCTCATTAACTGGAGTTGGGATAGCTCATCGGTATAGCGAATATTCTACAGGCTGGACGACGAAGGAACCTGGGTTCCTTTCTGTCAGGAGTAAAAGATTTCCTCTTCTCCATAAGCATACAGACTAGTTCTACCCCACCCCCCACCTTCTGTACAGTGGGTACCAGGAGCTGTTTCCTTTGGGGTAAAGCAGTATTCACGTGAAGCTTACCACTCACCTCAATCTAGTGCCAAGTCTAAGAAGGGTGGATCTGTACCTTCACTCACCCATACGTCTTCAGTACATAGTGCTTAATTAAGTACAGGAAAAACATCATATTTTCACCCCTCATTACGTTCATACAGTGAGAAAAAAAAATCATATATAAATTGCCCAACACCCAGTGTTCCGGAAAAGCAATTTCGTATAGAAAACCTCGTAAAAAGTATAATAAATTAACTGAAGGTAATATAAATAATTAACCGATGTAGAAACCATGAAACTGGATATCAAATACGAATAAAAACGTGGTATTTCCAATATTTGCAGTATGATTTCACTCACCAGTTTTTCCCAGCAAAAACAAAAACCTTGCCAACGATGAACAACGTTAACGCCAAGAGCAAATGAATAACACTTTCCCCACAGTTAAAATTTGAGACGCAAATACACAGTCATTTAGTTCCCAATACATATTTATACATTGTACAGAAAGTAAGCAAGCCTTTTGCAATGGCCACACGAAATGTCTTTACCCGCTCAAATACTGAGACCGTGGGTTCGAATCCAACTCCAGGCATCGACGTCTCTGTGCGTTTATTCTGTGTAGGTAGCGGCCTTACGACTGGCTGATCCCCCGTCCAAGGTGTCTTACCGACTGTCTGTAAGATTCATAATTTCAGAATTAATTACTTCTTAATTGGCACAGGCCCAAGTGCCTGACGAGCAGTATTAAGTGGAAGATACATTATATAACACATATAACAACGGTTCAAATTTCAATTTCAGATATAACCAGTGCGCAATTACCTATGTTCTTATTAAAACACAAGACTTGTTCAAATTATCCATTATATTACATGTAATAATGTCTTGAAAGGATCAACAGTCAGCTAATAAACACTTCTGCAGCCACGCCACATGACGCGAATTTGTTTCACAGCTTCTGACGTACATTGTTGAGTCTCGTCACTTCCAATTTCTGTCTCCGAAACGGAAACTATAATCAATTCGCGAGTGGATTCTTATTCGCACAATTAGGATATTTACCACGATACAATCACAGAATGGATTCTGCACGGCACTTCTACTACGCGCTGTTGCCAGCTGAATGAGCTGGAGGTCGGTCTTGTAGGTCTTGTAGATCACAGCAGTAGTGTACATTGCACGTAATTTGTCCTGATTTCCCCTCACTTCTCTCCAATTTTCTACGCAATGTCTGTGTCCTGCCGACGGTCAGACAGGAAGTAGTTACGGTATATACCGCGCCAGAGTTAACATAACACACCACACAAATGATTTTATTCTTTTAAACACATTTCCCGCTGTCTCCTTAAATGAAACATTGTTACAAGACAAGCTTAAATGCCACACCATGAAGACATATGAGACAGTGCATGTATAACTCCATGACACTAGATCGAGGTAAATTGTCAAATTCAAGTTTTGATTGCTTTATCTTAGGCGAGAAAGCCCTCGATGTGTGCGCGTGGAGCCTGGCCGGGCCCCAGGGCCTACCTGGATGAGGTAGCAAAGATAATATTCCTGGCCTCTGCCGGAAATCGAAACGCGGTCGTCCAGCTCATAGCCTGCCACTATCACGAACTAATTTTTAAAAATATTGCTTTGAACGTTCTCATAATATTTAACTTCCTGTGAGAGACGTCCTTCTGATAAAGTGTATAACAATTTCGAAACGCCCCACTGCACCTGCCACAACACATACAATGATAAAGGACTGTAACGCAGGTGGTACTGCAGAAGAAATTATGTGTATCTTCTTGCCTTCCAGATGAGTCAGAAATAATCCACAAGAAAAGTAAATCATAACATCAGAAATTACGTACTAGAATCCTCAAAGTACAACCGATGCACTCTGCACAGAATTGCAAAATTGAACGTAACATGGATAGAGGCAATATGGACCTTGCAGAAGCAAGTATGCAAATTCATTATAATAATGACATAACACCATACATTTGCGCTTATTTTTTTATAACATACACGATATAAGCGGCCGGGACGTGAAGCTGACCACTCACTTACAGCTAGTGCCGAGGTAAAGAAAATGTGGATTTATACACTCACTCCCCCATACGTCTTCATGGTGTGCTTAATTAGTTAAGCACATGGACAACTTTACCTTTTTTACGCGAAATAAGCATTTTTTTTTTTAGAAATCGGGAATGGAAATTATATACACGTACTGTATATGAGAAATCATTGCGATCGTAAAAAAAAATCATGACCTTGAGATTTTGAAGGAGTTAAATGTTTTCAGAAAACTGCATAATGAGGCGGTTCAAAACTTGTACACTTCGCTAAGTATAACTAGTAAAATGAAGTCAAGGAGGATGAGATAGATAGGGCACGTGACATGCACTGGACAGGAAAGGAATGCGTGTAGAATTCTGGTGGGAAAGCCAGAAGGAAAGAGACCACCAGGAAGACATAGATGTAAGTGGGACAATAGCATTAAAATGAATCTTAGAGAGATAGGATGGGAATGGTGTGGACTGGATTGATCTGGCTCTGGATAGGAACCAGTGAAGGGCTCTTGTGAACACGGAAATGAACCTTCGGGTTCCATAAAATATTGGGAAATTCTTGAATAGCTGCGAAACTTGCGGTATCTAGAACATCTGAGCTCCATGGAATAAGTTTTTTTTTTTTTCACCTTTGGCGCTACAGCCCCAATTTGGGCGCTGGCCTACCTCCATGAGACTCTTCGTTTCACTTCTGTTTACTAGATCTTAGACATTCTGTCGGACTCCTTGGGCGGGTGATCAGCTCGTGACAAGGCTTCTACATGTATAGAAACACAGAAAACACACACAAACACTAAACATAAATGCCCTGAGTGGGATTCGAACCCACGATCCCGGCTTCTGAGCGAGCGAAGACAGTGCATGCCATAGACTCTTAGGCTACCGTGACCGGCTCATGGAATAAGTTATTTGTTTATTTTTAGCTCCCAAGTGATTTCTGGAATGCCACTTGTCTGACTATAGGCATGTGTTTGTTTGTGAGCTTGTCTGGCGACTGAAACATTAGACGGATTTTAGTTACATTCGGTATTTATGACTATCATATGTCGAGGACCGATGAATGTATAGATTCCAGCTCCAAAAATAGGGGCAAATCAGAACGCAAAATGGCGAGTTTATCTAAAACGACTTTAACGATCTTCAGTGAATTTCAATAATTTATGGAGACAATCTTCCCAAATAAAATGCATAGGCGATGCCTTCATGCAAATAATGGGACGCACCTTCGGGGCCCAAAGGGGAAATGTCAATTTTCTCGAAACAGGATTTACCCATTAGATGGATTTCACAGTTTTTTCTTTTCATAGGTTATGTAACGGCACATTTTTCTGTAACGAGATTACATGGCGTCGGACAGTGCTATGACAGATGAATTATAAGTTAGAAAAGATTCGGAATGAAGCAGTAATGACCTAACGTAAGTACAAACGTGGAATTTACTTGACGAAAATGAATACAAGCAAGAAAAACGTGTGACAATAGTCGATGTCCCAGCCGAGATTCGAAACAAATACAAGCCAGTTCACCTCTATTTCTCGTATAAACCTTCATGTTGCGCTATAAAAACTTTATATTTTCTATCTTTAAAATAGACCTACTGGTCGGTTTGAAAGCGTCTCAGGACATTATAAAATTTTCCATGTTTTCGATCTCTGGTGCGTTCCATTCTTCTGTGCGACTAATTTCGCTCCTGTTCGTGTCAAAGTACAATGCGCAGAAGAAAGCAGCTCCACTGCTTTTCCTTCTCGCTTGATTACATAGATTCATATTCCATATCCTTTGATTTCTCCAGATGTCTACGTTTCTCCGTCCCTGGTCCAATTGCTAAGCAACCGTGAGTGCATTTATAGTGCATAAAGCGATCAACGTCCACCGCTGTTTCGTTGCTCGGCAGCCATTTAATGCAGAAAAATTACTCTGTACTGCCACGGTGATACATTATAGAAAAGAAAAAGCTTAATGTCACAACCTTTCCTCCTTCTGGTACTTTGTTCTATTTTGGGGGTTGGATCAACGGGGATACGACTGCTATAACGTTAAGATCTTGGGTTCAAACTCCACCCAAGGCACAGGTTCTGTCCTGTTTTTATTGTTCTGTGGGTGTCTAAAAGATTAATACTTTCAGACATGAATTGTGAATTCGAACAAGCTAGAGGCCCTGTTCGTTAAAGCTGAAGAAGATTGTTATAACAGAAAATACATTTCATTAAATTAAAATGTGAGGTTTTCATGGCGGTGACTATGAAGAATGCCGTCTTCTGGGATGTGGCGCCATGTATATCTAGTGTAAACCGACGTTTTGGAGGAAAGTATCGCCTCCATCTTCAGTGAGGCGATATGTTCCTCCGAAACGTCAGTTTACACAAGTTCTACACGGCGCCACATCCCAGAAGACGGCATTCTTCATTAATTTATTTTTCAAAAAGTCCCGGGCGAAGGAGGACACGTTCGCTAATGTAATAGATTTTCAAGAGGTCATTCTTATATTTTCTTCCATAAACTGACAACACTGTGTTAAGTTTCGCAGTAGCGATCTTACGTCCTGTAACACTAGCAGTAGTCAATGTTATTTTCTTGTTGATGCGAGCCTAATATGCAGATTATGCAGTGCAAACAACAATACTGCTATATCATGACGATCAGTCTCAAGTTCATCGGAGTAAAGCCTGAAATTACAACCTGCAAGTTGGTCTACAAAACAGCCTACACAAATGTACAATTTTACGCTGTTACTACGTACATTAATCCTATTAAATCATAACATATATTTATAAATGAATGCATATTCCACGCTGCTTGTGTGTTATACGATATATAAAAGCTTCGTTTGCATTTGGCGATTTTTCAAACCTCCGATTTTTACGCAGGTGACGTAAGGCGACAAGCAGCTTGCCTGACCTTAAGTACAGTTCGTGTTATTGTTCTTGCCCGTTCTCAACAGCATCTCAACATGCGCTATGGATTGCATCTATTCCACTGAGATTAGAACTGTAGGGTGTGTATGGGTTAGTCAAGTCCCTTAACTATAGTACATTACCCTTCCTCCCTTAAAGCAGATGAAAACACTGTAGAACAACTTCTAACTTCTGCTCTGGTCTAAAATCACGACCTGTAGTATTGTTAGACTGCACATAATAAATCGCTGTCCATTAAAACAAGTGGAGACACCAAGAATAAATCCAAGGCTACATTTAAAAATCGCTTTTGTGAACGTCATATCTCCACGGATATCACTTAAGAGTCTCCTTGTAACTACAAATATTCCGAACAGAGGACACAATCTGTAGGTATCGATAGATCGAAACGTGGACGAGTGCCAAAAACGTTCGTCTAATTGCATCTCAGGAGACACGCACATGCGGTAACCATGAGGTAAGCGGAAAAATAATCCTGACGGAGCATTTTTCTTAGCTCCAGCGTCAGCATAAAACGCAGAACCGTATATGAAATAATTCTTTCCGTCCAGTTTCGTCTCTATCGCTCCGTTTAGACCAGGAGTGAGCAAACTTCCTTACACTGGTCATGTGTAGGAATCCAAATGTTTTCGCATTTCTTTTTGTCGTCTATTGTATGATGCTGTCAGTAACCTAGGGTCGTATAATGTGATAAATTGTAAGGGATTTGGAAGAAAGTGATATGGCCAAACCGAGGTAGCCCTATTATGCCAGCATTTGCCTGAAGAGACTGAGAAATACCACAAAACCTCACTCAGGATAGCCGGCGACACGGTCCAGATTCGAACCGAGCACCTCACAGATATTGGTACAAGTCTAGAGTGTTACCGCTACACCGACTTGGTCTGTTTTCGAATAAAAAAGTTGGTAAAGTTTTCCCCGAGCTTAACTAATTAAGCACTACGCCATGAAGGCGTATGGGGGAGTGGATGTATAGGTCACCATTTTCTTGATCTCCCCACTAGTTGGAGGTGAGTGGTCAGCTTCATTCCCCGGCATCTTTATCCCCGGGGGAAAAGCCCCCGGTACCCATTGCATAGGAGGTTGGGTGGATCCCAGAGCCGGTCTGAACGACGTGGAGAAGAGAAAATTCTTGACCCTATCGGGACTCGAACTCTGAACTCTCGGTCGTCCAGCCCGAAGCCA